ATAAAGAAATGACATGTCTCGTTGGTATCTTTATGATTGTGCTTTATTGTCTTTTTTGGTTGTTTAAATGTCCCACAGAACTGTGATGTTGTATTTTTTGCAGTCTCTGCCTTCGTCTTGGCCAGATCTCTTTTAAAAAATACATTTTAATGTTCTTTTTGGCTAAAATGACTTGATATCATTCATTAGAGATATGGGGTTGTTGTTTTTTTTGTTTGTTTTTTTTTACTTTTTAGGACATATGTAAGAGGTAAGATGGAGCTGTCATTTGCTTTTTAGTGTATATCCACTTAATAGTTGTAGTCATGCTTTAAGGCGTAATGTACTCATCATAGTGTTGCACACTGAAGAGGAGTTGAGTTCAGCTTTTAACAGTTGTGTAAATCATTACAAGACTTGTTCTCATACTCTTTATTTTCAAAGAAGCTGTACCTGAAAAAATAAAAATAAATGGAAATAAACAAGCAGAGAAGAAGCCCTGCGTATTTGCACTTAAGCAAAATCCAAAAATACAGTGTAATTAGTTGCTGTACACTGCGTCAATGCACACATACTCCTCAGCTTTTAGTGGTGGTAGTAATGAAGTTTAAAATAGTTATGCAGTTCTACTTTATGCGTGTATTTGATTTGGCAGCTCAAAGTTTTGCAGATTATGACAAATTGGTGCGATGTGAATCACAATAACAGCATGTAGTGTGGTAAACCTCTTAGAGTTAGAAAGCAACTGTCTGCACTCATCAACGCACTATATTGTCTAAATTCTCATTACACTGTAATGCATCAGCAGCGGTGTATCAGTCAACACAAGATGTAAATGTGGTTTGGATAGGAGGCCTTCATGCTTATACTGGATTATAGATTCTGGATCATGTTTCTTTTTGTAATACCCACAGTGACATGGGAATCTGTGGAACTGCTAGAAATGAAATACAAGAAAAGAAAATCTACACAAAGCAATTTTATAGTGTATAAGTCTCTATTAATAGGTGAGCTGTGAAAACGATCTTTAAAAAAAAAACAAAAAACTAGTTTGCAAAGCTTTATTGATGTTTTCAGTTAAGTGTGTGTGTGTGTATAGTGTGTACAGTGGCTGGGACAATTGCATTTAAGCAGCTTTGCTTCAAAGCGAAAAGAAAAAAAGTATTTCATATTATTATTTTTGTCTCAATTTCTGATTTTAGCTTTACTGCTGTGTCCATTTTGGCTCATCCAGATGAATACCTGTCATGTCCCTTAGGTCAGGCTGCTAAACACAAGAAAAGGTCCTATCAAGACTTGTTGATTAGTTTGTCTGTTCTGGGCTACTGTAGAAACATGGTGGTATCTACCATGGATCGATTCCCTGGCTACTCTGAAGTGCATGTCGAAGTATCCTTGGGCAGGATACTGAACCCTGAGTTGCCCCTGATGAATCCATCATCAGTGTGTATGAGTGTTACACAAAGCAGTTATAGAATCAAATCAAATCACTTTTATTGTCACATCACATGTGCAGGTACATTGGTACAGCACATGTGAGTGAAATTCTTGTGTGCGAGCTTCACAAGCAACAGAGTTGTGCAAAATACAATAATGTAAACAAGCAAAATACAAGAATGGCTACATCTGAAACTAATAAATATATGTACAATATATAATAGTATATGCATTTCTGGATGTGTATACTAAATATTTTTCTACGTGTGTGTGTGTACACATATTTTACAAATTAAATAGAGTAAACAATAAATAAAATATATAAAAATATACAGAGTTAGAAAAATGCATGAATGTGTGTGTCATTGAGTGAATGAGGTTTGTAGTAAAAGTTTTGAGTAGAAAAGCGCGGTCCATTCACTCACTACTTCGCAAAGGAGAACAGAACTAATAGAACCAAAGCAGTTCCTATTTTCAGGTATTAATACACAAAGCAAAGCATGCTTATAGATACTTTATTCCTTTCCTCCTGCATATCCACCAAAATCCTACACACCGGATCTTTAAAACAATAAAAATACTCAGATTTCAACCTTATGAGTGTATTATAGACTTTTCATTGTTCAATATATTTTAATACATGTACAGTTCAGAGTGTGGATCGTGTGTGTGTGTGTTATGGTGTTTGTAGGTCAGCTGAGTGAGTATATTTTTCAGAGGAGCAACAGGTGTGAAGGAGCAGGAGTGACTGTGATGGAAGGGTAAAAATCACACCTGCCAGAGCCTCCTCTGAAGAGTCTGGCAGCTAGAGGAGTTGGCCTTTCTGTTTTCAAGGCTTTGGGTTCACTCTTGTCCCAGACACATGAATTATAATGTAATCTGAACTCTAAGGTTGCTTTGTTCACACTGGAGTAGCATTTGTGTGCGTGTGGGTGGATGTGGCTGGGCCTAGAGGTGGATGTGTTTGTGTGTTTGTGTGGGTGAATGAGTGGAACGAGAGGGGAGGTTAAAAAAGGTGTGTGATCAAGAAGAGAAATATGTGCGCTTTCATCCTTGTTTGGGAATCATTGTGTGTTTGTGTGTGCATAGCTGCCCTGAGACAGGTCCTCTCCACAGTGGAGGAGTTTCTTTTTTTTTTTTTCCTGTACTCATCCCACATAGCGATCATTCCTCCTCCGCTTGCACGAGAAAAACGAATAATGCCTCAGATATGAGCCTTGTAGAACAAAGACTTTTTGCACAGCCCTCCCCTCCTTTTCTGCTAACGCTGCTGAGCACCCGTAGCACTGTGCAGTGTGTGTCTGTGTTGTCTATTGATTCCAGACAGTCTGATAAATCTTTACATTTGGATTATCTGGGATTCATATGAAAGACCTCAGCTCTTTTTCCCACTGGCATGTAGAAAGGGCAGAAGTTAAGTCTTAACTGTGGGATTCTGTATTATAATAGCAAATTAACAAAAGAAGCAAAAGTCTTTACCAGCCCTCATCATGTTCAAGCAGTTACGGAAGCATTTACACCTTGGACTGTTGAGAACAACCACTCCACTAACTTTTGGCAGCTTAACATACCGCATGTTATTAGTGTTAATAGTTTGTTGTCATTACCTGCTTATCAGCCCAGCATTTGGAGCCCCCTGTTTTACTTAGTTTAAACCCACCATGACTGATTTTATTTGCACAGCTTCCTGTCGCCACAAGTCTATAAGACTCTTGATTGATGCTGGGAATTTAGAGCAGCCTGCTGCAGGTGAACGCTACATCTGGCTGCAAGCGGTGAGACCAAATGATCATAGAGGGGTTGTGGACTGTGCAACCAGGCAGAGCTGTCAGATGATCATTTGCACTTTAAGTGCTAATCAGTCAACTGATCAATATATCGACAGGATGATTGTGAAAACAACCTTTGGCTGCTGCTTGTGATGTGTAAATATACTGTGAGGGGTTGACATTGCCGTATCAAAGTCGTCCTTTTATGTCTAATATGCAAAATATGCAAAAGCCACTGTGTTTGTTTAGTGTGTGGAGCTCGGAGACTCCCGCTGGGGCAGCCCAGTGGGACTCGGTGCCAGAGAACACGTGCTCTCAGCAAAAACCTAACAAAACAAACCTGTTTGCAGCCAGAGGCTCTCACTGCCACTTTATTTCTATCACGTAGCCTGATCCCATACTACTGCCTTTTTGCCAGAATGTTTTCTGCCTGTCTTTACATTCCCGGCCCGATTAGTGGAGATTGTGACCACTTCAGCACAACGCACACACTCGCACACAGACACACTCTGTGAGTGTAGCAAGTACTGTGACTTCTGGATATCTACACAGTATCTGTCTCAGTCTCTGTGTCCCTGTGTGGCCTCATGCTCACAGTAACACTGCTAATAGGTGAAAATTGTTTCCTTCTGAAGAACATGAGGTTTTACGCTAAAACCACTAAGATGAAGCTCGGGGTGCAATTAAAATAATCAGGACATTACCAAAGTCATTAGCAGTGTCTGTCAGTACAGTGTTTCCAATAACTAGTGTTGTTGGTGTTGAACTGCACAGCTGATTGACGTTGTTTATAAAAAGCTGCCCTGCTTGCCCACCTGGCTGGCTCTGGTCCAGAACAACCTGAGGCTCAACTACCTGCAGCTGCTTGTTGCTCATGTTTTACAATATGTGTCAGTGTGTGTGTCAGAGGGAAGGTTTCATTGTTTCTCTGTATGTGTGCCTCAGCCTTGCATACGACCCTGCTCTGATAAAGTCTTTGTTAGCGTTTTAACTTGTGTATGTGTGGGCATATTTGTGTTTTTGTGTGTCCCAAGTGTGTTTTTTTTTCCCCCTCTGTCTCACAAGTTTTAACCATGACCGGGTTTGCTTAGTTGGTCAGTGTGTACAGTTGTGTAAAGGAGTCGGGGCAGCCAAGGGGTTACGTGGCCCCTTGACCACAGCACCAGCTGGGGGATTATCCTGTTGAGCAGATCCAGTGTAGAGGGGCCACGCTGGGGCTGGTCTGGAGGCGTGAGGGAGGGGAGAGGGCTGTTTTAAGGCATGGCTTAGGTTAATTAACCTCCTGGACGCTTCGAGAGAGGCACAGAGCTCCACACTAATGGTTTATGGCCCCCACAGTTCTCACTTTGACATGCAGTGACCCTGAACTGGAGTTGTGTTTAGTTTAAAATCACGTCCATAAACAATAGAAATGTCACACTGGGATTATATCTGTCAGTTTCAGAAAGTTTAGTTTTATCGCAATCCATTAGCTCTTGACTAGCTGGTGAGCTTGTGATCGAGATTACGCCTTACATAAGCTTTTTAACTAGTTTGAGTTATGTGAGGGATTTAATTCAGAAAACTTAGGTTGGATAAGGCTGGAGGGATCGTTTAAGCGAGCCATGTTATGTGACTTGGTTTCCTAGTTTTCTTCTTAATGGCAATAGGTCTGTTAAAATCTGTGGATAAACTAACGCCACTCCGTTACACCGCACATGTCACACAGATGCTTGGCTAGGCCGAGTATTTTTTAAGCATACGTTATAAAAGCAGTGCCACTTTGACCTTCACAGCGTCACAAGAAAAGATCTGTTAACTAGTTGATTATGAACAATGTCACACTTTGAGTGCAGGATCAGGTCAGATTTTTTTCCTTGAGGGTTATCCAGAGTTCAAAGGTTTGACTCCTGTTTACAAATGAATCATCACCTGGACACACGGCGAGTGCGTTATGCATTTTATTAATGATTAAATCTTTAAAATGGGAATTCTCGCAGTTTATAGAGATGAAACCATGAAACCTTATCCAATGGATGCTTCAAATGCTTCTTTCACAAACCCTAATCCTAAGTAGAACCGTTTTCCTGAATCCTTTTTATATTTTAAACGTCAGAATTAAACACTGAGAAGAATTGCTCATAGGTTTGTGTATGGACAGTCTGCTCCCTTAGTAAATATGGCATACTGCTTTTAGTGTTTTCTGACTTTTTGCTTTTCATGTGTTGGAGTTTGTGTGGGTTCAAGTTGTTTTTAAAATCTATATCCGTTGTTGTTTGTACACATGTAAGTTCATGCGTGTGTAAGAAACAGAATTTGATGGGGCCGAATGGCTGACTGGCCGGACGCCTTCCAGGAAGCTTTGTGGAACATCGGGGCGCTCAGAGGAAGTGCAGGGGTGGGGAGAGCAGGGGGTGGGGGATGGCTGGAGAGTCTTACTCACTCCCCAGATCTCTTGCCAATCACAGCCTTTTTCGTTTGAGATCCTTGTACTCTCTCCACACACGTTCAGGTTTGGCATTATAACTGACGTAATGGTCACCGCTTTTCTCGTTGCTGCCCTAAATGGCCATGGAGAGCACCGGCAGGAAAAAAGTCAGTGACACAAACCCCTGTTTGTATTGACTCATGAGTGCGGAGCTCTTTCTTCACCGCGTCCTACTATTGTGGCCGTTCTCCCGTTTTTCTCCTCCTTCCCCATTTGTCAAGAGGAAGCGGTGGAGCCGACAACTGTCTCATTCTCCCCTCCCAAATATACATAAGGGCTGTGTGCATATCCTAAAGAAATTGGTGCGTAGGGAAAACAGGATGTGAATCTGCTGCGACTCAAACATCCCTACACTGTCACCCTTCCCTCTGGATTTCAGCACTGTTTAGAAGTTTGTTTGTTTTTCCCCCCTGTCGCAAACAGTCACAGGAATGCATAAGTTAATCGTTTTAATAACTCATCTTGTTGTTACAACACTCTTACACCCCAAACAATGCATAAACACATTGATTAGGACCTCAGCTGAGGATTGTAATAACACAGTCACTTATAGCGCTGGTGAAGAAATGGACAATCCTTAAAAAAGCCCCATGGCTTTAATATCCTGCTGTGATTCCACTTGGCATGTGGGTCTAAGTGTGTCTGAGGATGCAACTTGCAACGTGACGCAACTTTAATGTGTCTTCTCATTTGTCACACCCCTCCTCTCCTCCAACACCACATGCCCTCCGTTATTTGTTTTCATGTTGGCATTAAACTTATTATTAATCTTTTTTTCCCCCAGTGAGGGTTAGCAGATGTTGAGCTGATGTGATCTAATAATGGCCCTAATGTAGCAGCTAGGTTGCTAATAGTGTAGCTAAGAACTGGGTCTCAGTGACATTTCCTCAACATGATTCACTTTTCTGAAGATATTATGAAGGCATGAAGATATTTGCTCAGTATTAAGAAAATAATAACATCCCACTGCCCCTTACATCTTCAGCATATCCCTTTTGCTTTCCATCCCTGTGATCTGTTGATGATGCTGTTGTAAATCAACATTTAGTACTTAAGCATAAGTTAGCTACTGAAAAAAAGCGAGCAGAAACAGAATAGAAATGTTAAATTGCAATTAAAAAAGTTTTTTAAAGGTGCCATGTAGTTTCAAACTGCAGCTTTTCAAACAGCTCCAAAAATTTGTCACAAAATGTTTCTGTGAGCTAAATGTACAGTTTCTCCCAGGGAGAGACCCCCCCCCCAAAAAAAAGGAGAGGAAAGGACAGGTGTAGCTGCTCAGCTAGTATATTTTCCTAATCTTTCAATTTTATTGTCCTGATTTATTAGTTTTAATTCCGATATTGGATATTGTGTTTTTGTGTTTTTGTGAAATGTCATGAAAAATAAGTTGTTACTAGTTTTGTGTTATTCACTGGTTACCAGGCACTTTAGTCCAGGCTACCTTTTATACTAACTTTGTAGTGTCTAGGTGATCGAAATCTGCCATGTAGCTCACTTAAGATCTGCTTATATCAGTTGTCAAAATCCACAAAGAGCAGTGATGTCGGAGTAGCAACACAAATCAGCTGATCACATTCTGTACACAAAGAACATTGTACTGGAATGCACAAAACAAATTATTATGTGACTCTTTTCTGGTTAATTCTGCATTGCTACACCTGATCTTCAGGTTCCCCAACGCACCGAAGTCCATTTTAACCCCTGCTTCTAAATGAAAGAACTAAGATTTTGAATAATGGTCTTTACAGGCTGTGTGTGGTAACTGTTGTAGCTGCTGACCAAATAAGCTGAATAAATGATAAAATTATAAAATTTTAGTTAATAACAGTCATTGGTTTTGTGAAATGCTTATCATAGGAAATGTTCTATTGTTGCTGTTTTAGTAACAGCACAAATGATATCAAACGTTTAAAAGCATACATATAAGTGGTTGTCCTTGTTAGATAACAAAAAACACTATTGTTATCTACACACTATTTTGGAAATAATGTAAAATCATTAAAACATTTTGTGTAAACTGACAGAGCACCACTTCAATTTTTTCCTCTTCTGCCTTTCTTTTCTGTCCTGCCACATCCAGACGCAGCATCACCATCACACCTGTGCAGTTCATACAGACAGATTTGCTCCCTGCGGACACCTCGATCTCCTTCCACGTCCATCTACCACAAAGCTCAGACCCTCTACCACTCGCTCTGTGGTCCTCTCTCTGTCATCCCACCACGTCTGCAGAGTGGGTGCCAGCTCCCTCCCCCAGGGGTGGGAGTGAGGAGCTGGGGGACGGACTCGACAAACCCCTAGAGAATGATGCCGAGGGTGTGTGGAGCCCTGACATCGAGCAGAGCTTCCAGGAGGCCCTGGCCATCTACCCACCCTGTGGCCGTAGGAAGATCATCCTCTCAGATGAGGGCAAGATGTACGGTACGCCCATCTCTATAGTCTACTCTCCCTGTGAAGGACAGGATGATGTTCTCATGTGAACCAGGGTTGAGGATAATTCTCCTTAAATTAAACAAGTCAAGAAGTCTCCAATTTGATTTAACAATATGTTACACTTTCAGACACACAGGTCCTTAATGCATAGTGTATCATATTTGATACACAGAGTCTTTATGAGTTGTTAAGACTTCTACATCATTGGTGTGTGTTTTTGTTCTTTTCTCTACCAAAAAAACCTACAATTCTATAATATGTTTTCAAGTGCTAAACTGCAAAAAAAAAAAGGCTGGATGTAGCAAATATGACACAAATTAAAACATATATATAGAAATGGATGATTTTTTAAATTTGTCAGAAAGTTTAATAATCACTTCCCCCAAAAAAAGAATTTTATGACAATTAATTCACAGTTGAGGCTTTAAAGGGTTAAGCCATATTCACTTGCTATATATATATATGCACTCTTGACTCTTGACAACCATGCAAATCATTTGGCTTACTTAGACACTCAGAAATTGGCATGTCACAGCTGACCTTTTTATATTATAGACTAGGGGTGTCAAACATAAGGCCCTGGGAACTTAATCAGCCTGGCAAAGACTCCGGCAACAACAAAAACCTTCTGCTTTATAAATACAGAACAGTCTGGGCAACGAACCTTTTCTTTAATTGTACACATTTATTTCTCAAGATTTAGGTCCAAAGATTTCTGCAGCATTTCTTTAGCATTTAAAAAAACTGAGATGAAATTACATTTCTTTTTCTCATATTGACATTTCTCAGGGATTAAATTACTTTACACTGAAAGAAAGGGGATTTTTACTGGTCTTGCCACTTAAGATCAAAGTGAGCTGTATGTGGCTCATGATGTAAGATGCATTTGACATCCGTAGCAAGAGTGTTAAAGTATTACATTTATAAATTAAGAATGATTTTATTTTTTTTACATTCACAACACAAATGTTGGTCATGGCATATAAAGCAAATAGTGTGAAGGTATCTCCATGAATTAGATTTTGCCTCAACAGAAAAGACAGCTGAGGTGGGATCCAAATTCTTTGACTGTGCTAAATGTTCTGTTTGAATAATATATTGATTAATATACAGTTAACTTTTCTGATGCATTCAAAACTGTGAGAAATTAATGTGTTCATTGCTGGTTTGTCAGTAACATAATGATTTCTTGTAACTGGACTATTGTGAAAATCCACCTGTGAGCCTCTTTGAATACTTCCAAACCTTTATAACTTGTTGTGGGGCAAAAAGAGATAAATATTCACCCCCACACACGCCTCATTATAAACTGAACTGTATATCTGCTTAAATTAGGGCCAGTGACATTTTTAGATATGTGTTTGCATATACATGCATGGGTTTAGGTTAACTGGTGATCCAAAAATGCCCTTAGGAGTGAATGTGAGCATGAATAGTTGCTCTGCGACAGACTGGCAACCTGTCTAGGGCGTACCGTGCCTCGTGGCCTTTGACAGCTAGGTTTCGAACACATCTACATATCAGTGTTTGGCAATTATCATAGGGCCACCAAGTGGATACAGGAAATATTTCATGCTTTGATGTACTTCTTCCTCCTGTTATATGACAGATAACCAGAAACCTTCAGACCTTGAGTCCTGGCTATATTTAAAAAATTCTGAGCTTGCATAGAATGGTGCATCCTATCAGTATGGTAAATGCGAAGTTACTGTAGAGGTAATAGGGATGCTTAAAAACAGTATGAAATATTGAACACATTGAGATGTGGTAGCAGCTTTTCAGTTTTTATGGGTCTTGCATGTGAGAGTGGCGAAATGGCTCTATAGCACCAGCACAAAATTTCAAAAAAGAAGCCCTACAATTCTTCTTCATATATGAAATCTAACATCCCAAATTCAACCCTAAAATAGTCGTCTTTAGTTTGTAGTTGCTACATAACTACACTGCAGGTCTTTCGATAATGAATGTGTGGAAAATGTCATTCCCAAACAGGTGTTGGGAAGGTGAGGTGACATGCCTTTACAGCATTTTGCTGAAAGATGTTTGGCGACAGATGGTTTGGCCCCCTGAGTGACTGTTTGATAGTAGATCTGGTAGGTGGAAAACAGAGCAGCCAGAGGTAGTGGTGCTTTCAGACAGACTCTGTCATCGCCTTGTTTTGTCACCGTGCCAGACAGCTCCTTTAACTGTTAGCTTTGCCTGGCCTAGCTTGGTGACCTATTGAGGTCATGGCCATCCTCTGATCATCACTTAAACCCTTATAAAGCCTGTAATAATAGTTGGAGTAGGGCATGAGAGAGGGGCAGGTGTGTCACTCTGTGTCACGGGGCCGTGGCGAGGGGTGGGGGAGGACTGGATCAGCAAAGATGTGGGGTTAGGGGTTTTTTTTTGTCAAGGAAAGCACTGAGGGACCCCTTCCTCCCTGTGGGGGTCAGGGGCAGGTGATGCGTGCCAGGGAGTGCGTCGGCTTGCCAAGAATGGCATGCACGCTTGAAGCCCGGGGGTTCAAGGCAGCTTGGCTGTAACCCTAAACCAGAATAGACGTTTACCCTTTGAGCGCCTGGAGGGGGGAGGAGGGGTGGACAAATAAACACCAAGGTGGGCAGCGGTGTCGTGTATGGCCTCGATGCACGGCACAACTCTCTCACACCTGTCTCAGCTGTGCGTATATCTGTCAGTTTCATTTTAGGTAGAAGTCATATTCTGTTTTTCTGCTATCTCTGATTTACCGCCCTCATATCTTTTAGTCTCAGTCTTTTTTCGTTCTTAATGAACAACCGCTTTTCTCTCTCTCTCTCGTGTCTGCTGGTGTAGCCGCCTTTCATTTCGCCTCCAGCTGTTCCCTGAGTTCAACCTGACAGCCTTGTGGCAAATCCGGATTTATGACTTGAGAAATGAGGCAGGACTGAGCCCATGCATGGCCCACTTTGCCCCCATTGCCTCTAAACAGAAAGAGCAGCCCGTCCCTTAAAGCCTTTGCAGCCCCTGCAGCTCCCCTTTTATCGCCATCCCCGAGGTCACCGGTGGCCAACAACTCAAGTTATTCAAGCAACCACAATCGATGCAAAGCCACTTTGAAGGTCTTTAGTGTCGTTAATGTTGTTAAAGCGCAGATGGGTGGTCTTTAATCAGGTAGCTAAATCAAATATCAACTTAGAATATCTCTAAAGGCATACATGAAATAGTAAATCCATGACTTAATGCTTTTAGAAATGTGATTTACTGTAGTTGTCTAGTGCAGGTTAAATATGGATACATAGACAAAACAAACTGTTAGCAAAATAACTGTGTGTCTGTTGGCTGAGGACGACATGCTCCGAATTTCAGGTTGAATTCCACTTCGAAGAATGAATGCCATTCTTTGCTAAACAATATGATATTGAGTCTCCAGGCAGGCAAAACAGAAGCAGAGTGTTTGGATCACCTTCTGCATTGTAAATTCCTAAATCGAATAAAAGCTTTTTCACTGCATACTCTGCATATACGCGCCACATTTTTTCCCATAATACCATGTATTGCCCCGGCCCCCGTGCCCATTACTCAACAGACGTATTAGCTTGCTTATTAGGGACGGTGTCACGGAAATTGTGGCGGTTATGTGCTTCAGCAGTAATTCGACATGCATCTGCCAAGGAAAACATTTCCTGCCTTGTGTGGCTCTCAGCAAGCGATGTGCCCCGTGGTCAGAACGAAGGCCCCATGCTGCAATAATGGAAAGAAAGTCCCAAAATGTGCTGACAGCTCTCACTAAAAGAATGTAGCTCTGGAAATATGATTATCTCCCCCCGTTTATTTGTGGCCATATATCTGCCACGCTAATTTATGTGCTGCTTTTGCAAATGTAATTGTTTTCTTTTAATGATGTCTTTTTAATACCTTCCTTTTTTAAATTTAGCAGCATTATCTCTTTTTTATTATCTCTTGCGTCACACAAAGTTTTATGCAGCTGTTTGGTTTTGTCATTCTGGATTTCATAACATCTGTGTAGGGAGCACTTTTCTCACATTTTGACGTGTCTTATTTCCTCTTTGGAAAAAAAAAAAGTCTGTGTTAGTGAAGTGGATAAACTCAACAAAGCTCCCGACAGTAGTGACATATTCTTTCTGTCAGTTCAGAACAAAGAATACCCACACAGTGAATCATGCTCCCACCGCGCTTGGCTTGCGCAACGTGTCAGCCCATTGTCGCTTTTTGTCAGGCGATGCAAACGTGTTTTTGTCTCAAGTCGTGCTCCTAATGAACATAACGGTAAAGGTCAGTGGAAAGCTAACAGCGAGTCCTCACCTAGGTCCAGACTGTGGCAGTAAAGTGAGAGATTCACCAGCAGTGTTGACCCGGTGACCTTTGAGGAAGCTGAAGGCCTGTGTTTTCAAGTGGTTTCCTTCAGTAGCTCTGCCTCAGTTGCCTGCTTGAAGAAGTGAGATCATATATGTAGGTAGAGGTGAAATGAAGACACTGATACAGACATAGTGCCATCGTTTGGAAAAATGAATAATGTGTTTTTTTATTTACTTAGGGGTTTTTTTGTAGCAGTCCAGATTTTGAATTAGTGACATTATTTGTTTAACCTGAAAATAATTTAGAAATAATAGAAAGTCATTTATTTAATCACCTTAATGAACTGATAATAGTATACTGCCACACAAGTGTTTGTGGATATATTTTTCCTGCAATTACATTGCATATGAATCATTTATGGGAGACACCCAAACCTTAGTGATGATAGGATGATGCTAGGATGACATGGAAGGTTCTCATGAGAAATCTGGAGTCTTTACTCCAGGTTTAAGGCTGTCATGGGATTTGATGCTGTCCGGAGACACCCCCCCTTTGCTGACTTCTGGAATCTTACACACTACTCTCTCGCCTTTTTTTCACCAATGACTTCTCTCTCTGTCTCAGAGTGCAACCAGTAAGATATGGTGAGCAGCACCATCCATGCAACAGGGTTGCCTCTGCCACTTTATTTAATCTTTTCAGATCTACAA